CAATATTGTTCTTTGCAGCATTGGACTTTCCTTTCACCATCAGACACATCCACAGCTGAGCATTCTTTTGGCTTTGGCCCAGCAGCTTCACTCTTTCTGGGGTTACTTGTACTTGCCCTCTGCTCTTTCCCAGTAGCATATTGGACACCTTCTGTCCTGAGAGGCTCATCTTCCGGCATCATATCTTTTAGCCTTTTGTTCCTATCCATGGGGTTTTCTTGGCAAAGATACTGGAATGGGTTGCCATTTCCTTCTCCAGTGGATCACATTTTGTCTGAGTTCTCCACTGTGGCCTGTCAGTCCTGGGTGGTCCTCCACGGCATAGCCCAGAGCCTCATCAAACCACGCAAGTGTCCGCTATGCTGCCATGGGGGTTGGGGAGTTAATTCTGTGTCTTGGTAATTCCTATTGCATTCCTCTCCCTGCTGTTCCCAGCTTTAGCCACCTAACGGTTTCCTAACTTATCCCACGTGCGGGAGGGTACCTAATTGGCCCATGCCATGGGGGGGGTGCATACGAATACCCTATATCCTATTAGGCTCTATTGGATGCCACCATTCTTAACAGTGCCTGTGTTACTGCATCTATAGCTTTGCAATAAAAGTATAACCGTTCCTGAATGTGTGTACTTCGTTGTTAGCTGTGGGCTCTGACAGCAAGCCCCCTCGCCACATCAAGGCAGCGATCCATGAGAGAGAGGGATCTGGGCTTTGTTGTTAGTAATGCTGTCTAAGGCTTATTTGACTTAACACTCCAGGATGTCTGGCAACATCAAGGCAGCGATCCATGAGAGAGAGGGATCTGGTAGCTTGTAATAAAAGTACCAGCTACATAGAACAAACTAATGGAGCGAGGGCCTGGTGGTCCTGTGAGCCCAAGGAAGCAAGAGAAGGCCAGAGCCAATACTTTTGTTGTTGAGGGGTTTTGTTTTGATTTTTTTGTTTTGGTATGTTTGCATCTGAATTTGTGTGTATGTGTGCATGCGTGTGTGTGCCCATGCCTGCAAGTTATGGCAACCTCTGGCAACTCCTACTCAGGCATGGAGGACATGCAGAGAAGTGGCTTGGTAGCCTGCCTCTGCCTCCCAACCCTGGTATTCTTTGGAGGTCTCCCATCCAAATACTTGCCAGAGTTGGCCCTGCTTAGCTTCCAAGATCGGGCTTGCCTGGACTATCCAGGCCAGGGCACCAGGCCAGGGCACCAGAGCCAATACTGAGAAGACTCTTAGCATTCTCTTAGCAGGGTTCTTAACATTTTCTGCCATCCTGCTGCACAAAGACTACATATTAATGCCAGGCAGATGGGGAGATCTAATGAAAACATACTGTTGTGTGTTGAAGCAAAGTTAGCAAGTGCATACATACAGCTTTGAGCAACATTAGGTGGGGGGCTGAAGTAATTATTTGGAACGGGATGTAAGAAGCGGCCGCTCTGATTATCCTGATCTCAAATGAAAATTAATTTCTTCTTCCTTCCTAACGTATTCTAACGTTTAGTAAATCATAAACCCGTGGACAGTTCTCCCTAGTCTTTTAATAATTGTCAAGTGCGTAGCAGCTTAAGCTGTTTGTAAATAATAAATACTTAACATAAATAATAGAGTAAGGTCCCACTAGTAAATAAAACACAGAGCTCTACAAAGCCTATTACCGCTGATTAAAAAGAAAAGCAATGAATAAAATAAAAATCCTCAAACAAACTTCGTTTGTGAACACCATTCTCAAACACTATCTTGGGCACTGACACATGGTATCAAAAGGGAAGGTATAGGATGCCACCAGTCCAAGGAACACAATAAATTATTTCTCCTAAGGGGCATCAACCTAATCTAACTTTCAGCACCATCAACAAATACATATGAAAAGAGCATACACCCACTTGTGAATCAGTTTGGAAAATGCCATAATCAAAGCAAAACCACTCAAATTATTGCTCATTCTACAATACAAGTGATCCTATGTTCTGTGAGTGTATGTGTATGTATGTGTTGACTGTAGTAAAGTAAAGGTAAAGGTTTCCCTTTCTCGAAAGCCAGTCGAATCCGACTCTAAGGATGCGGTGCTCATCTCCGTTTCCGAGCTGAAGAGCCAGCGCTGTCCAAAGACGTTCCTGTGGTCATGTGGCCGGCATGACTAGTCAACACATGCAAATCTTTATATTCCAAGACGGGTAGAAACCCTGTAAACTGACATGCACACCTGGATTTTCTTCTCAAATACTGACATTTCTTTGCAGTAAAATATTTTTTGTAACCCACAGTAAAACTTAAAATATTAAACAGTGGATTTAATTTAAATTACTGCAATTCATAGGGCAGAACACATTTAAATTGTTCTCAGTTCTCTGGGAAGCATTTTAAAGAAGTTCCTTGTTGCCAACAGTAGGCCCGTAGAGAAATTTAGACATTCAAATTCCCTTTTCCCTTCATTAGCAATTTCATCATAAGAATGGAGCAATAGCCAACCTTTTAAGGCCACAAGACAATGTTATTAAGGCAATACTCACCATTATTTTAGGCTTAACAGCAAAATCCTTTTGCCCTCCAACCTGGATGTGTTTCTTCATGAGACTGAAGTTGTTAAAGCAACAAATAAGCAGGCCACTGCTGTTTGTTCTCAGATTAAAGTCTACATCTTCACAGAAATACCTAAGGAATTGAACATTTAACTGATCATGTGTTTGCTGAAGGCAAAGATCTGTAACTTGCACTATGCCTTTTGACTTCTCATAATCAGGGCTATTTTGGGGCAGGAAGGCACAGGAACGGAGTTCCGGCTGGCTCCTGAGTTGGCCACGCCCAGCAGGAACTCATTAGCATAATAGGCCACACCTAACAGCAGAAACTCATTAGGATTGGCTGCATTAGGGGTGTGTGGCCTAACATGCAAAGAAGTTCCTGTTACAAAAAAAGCCCAGGGTTTTGACAACAAAGTAAACAGAATAAGAAGCAAAAAGTGGGTGTGGCTGGATGACCACACTTTTGGTAACATGGGTGTGTGTGGCCTAATATGCCAATAAGCTGTGCTATCAGGGGTGTGGCCTAATATGCTAATGAATTTCTGCTGTTGGGTGTGGCCTGTTATGCTAATGGGTTCCTGCTGGCCTTTTTCTACAAAAAAGCCCTGCTCATAATAAATGTTATGAGTAATCACACTGAGACCAGAAATCCAATAATTCTAGATTAAGACAACAAAAAGCTGTCCATTGGCAAAAGCCTTTAAAAGTAGCTTTAAGCAATGTGGTACCAGAAGTAGTTTGAAATGGGCAAGGCTGTCTATGGGAGGAAGGCTGGACTCTGTTTCTATTCAGTTCAAACCTCAGCTGCCAAATCTGAGCATGATTTGTGAGTGCTCAGAGTGGTTTACAATCAGTCATAAAGGACATAAAAAAGAATCAAATACAAGAAAAAACCCCAGTATCAATTTAAATGCCTATACCTTATCTGGAAGGCCTTTCACAAAGAAAGACCCCCAACTGAGAAGGCATGAGCCCTAACTAAGACGGCATGAGCCCAAACTATCTCCATCTGGGGATACCACCTGCAGAGCCTACTGAAAGGATCTAAGCTAGAGAAAAGGGTACTGTAGGGAGAGATGCTCTTTGCAGGTACTTTGACCCTAGATTGTGAAGGACTTTATAGGTAAAAATGAACACTTTTGAATGCATAAGATTGCTCTTTGGACCAAGAAGAGGAGACTGGATTTATACCCCGCCCTTCACTACCCAAGGGAGTCTCAGAGCGGTTTACAAACTCCTTTCCCTTCCCCTCCCCACAACAGACACCCTGTGAGGTAGGTGGGGCTGAGAGAGCTCTGACAGAAACGGCTCTTTTTCAAGAACAGCTGTGCCAGAACTACAGCTTGCCCAAGGTCAATCCAGAATGTGCAAGTGGAGGAGTGGGGAATCAAACCCGGTTCTCCCAGATTAGAGTCCACGCACTTAACCACTACACCAAACTGGCACTAAGCATTTAAATCTCCCTTCAAATTTCAAACTGACCAAGTGATTCCCTAATGCAACCGTAAATCACATGTGCAAACAGACCTCAATGCAATATCAAAATACTATTCATAATCTGTGCTGTTGCAAAACTCCTGTTCATTTCACTGCGGGTTTTGGTAGGAAATGTTCTTGAGAGCTAAGCCTTCCTTCAGCTAGAATGATACTCAAATGTCAGTCTCTCTCTCTTCTTTAAATATATGATTTTCAGGTGGTATTTCAAAACAGCCCAATTGTACACGAGGGAACTGTGACATCAGGAGTAATTTGGATGGTTCTCTTGACGACGCCTTTCTTAAAAATTTGCTTGTGAGCCTCATTCTTATTTTTAAAAGGGATCAGGTTTTTTAAAAGGGACCTAGCCTTTGGTATAATTAGCAGCAAAAGATTTGCATTGCTTACCTGTTTAGATCATATTGCACATTTTGAGTCAGATCTATGTTGAGCAGAATGAAGTCATGGATGTGGCACCTTGAGAAGGGAGCTTTTGGTGGCCTGGAATTCAGTTTGCTCTTCCACTTCTGAATCCCTAGTATTGCATAGTGGACAATTTTTGGCGTGGCTTCAATGTGCTGCAGGACACTTTTCAAAGACACATTTTTACTGGTTGTTCCTTGATCCATGGACTGACTATGAAAAGTAAAAGTAGAACATACTGTACTAGATCCCTGCTGCACTCAGAAATTCAAATGTGCGGTCACGTTAAAGCTCTTACAACTGTAAAACTAATATAATACATCATTTTAAGTTACACATGGTAAAATGATTAGTTTTTAAATGGCAGTTATGAATGACAAGAAGTGGGGACCCATGATACTTGCGGGAGGGGAGGAGCTCCATGTGGAGGAGGAAGCGGCCACAGGTGAGCCTTCTCCCCTTCTCCCCCCCCCAGCACCGGCAGCGAGGCCTGAACTCGGCCCGCCAAGCTTTCTCCCTCCCCCCCAGCAGCTGCGGTGGCGGGGAGGCCTGGGTTCGTAATTCAGTTGCCTCGCTTCCCTGTCAGTGGCTTCCCCCCGGCATCTGATCGTGCCGGGGAGGAAGTGCGTGGCGGCTCAGGGGATCTATGTGATCCCCCTGCTGCATGTCTCTATGGTGCGGCTTTAAAAAGCCGCACTTTGCCCGTGTCCCCCCCCCCCCCCCCCCCCGGTGGCGGCGGCGAGGCCGGAGCAGCTCACAGCAGCTGGCCCGCCAAGCCTTCTCCCGCCCCCTCCTGTCCTGGCGGCGGGACAGTTGCCGGGGCATTATCTGCGCACGTGCAGGGAACGCTCTTGTACTTTTGGGGGGATTTAAATATCCCCTGTATATTTTTTCAACTTTTTAGATTTTTCTGCATTTAGATATCCGCACACGGGGGGCACCTCGGCTATTAGATATATAGATTACTGAGTGGTACTGACAACACTTCAGTTTATATTAGATATGGTTTTCCTTTTTTCATTTAAAACCTGTTTATTGTCAGACACCAAAACTATAACAAAAGTGCAAACTGACCAAGTGATTCCCTAATGCCATAATGTACCAAATCAATTTTCCAAAGCTTGCATTGACTTAAAATACTGCTGGAGGCCCCAATCCATGCACCTCCCTGGTTAGGAGACATTGATTACCTGGATTGTTCTGGGATACTATGGCAGTTCCATAAAACACAAGAGTCATCCATAACAACAATGAAAGGCCAGACACACTGACGCTTGACCCCCAGCTCTTCTAGTCGGTTCCTCTCCAGTTCCAGGTTATGGTAAGAAAGCTCCTTAATAAGGAATCTGGCTGCACCTAAAACATATGACAGAGATTATATGAAAGAGAGGAGACTAACGTTCATCTACTGGCCCCTAATCCTCTTTATTTAACACAAAACAGTTGGACTTCACTATGTACATAATGTAGAAAGGGACTGTTATAAGCTCCTGATGGGGAGCTTATATCCTGATGGGGATATATTTACTGGAAAGGTGCCAAAGAACATTCTGAAGCCAATAGCAGTTGGACATTGTCAGATTGCCCAGTGAGTGTTCATGCAGAGTCAATCATTTCTCTGACTCCACCTTGATAAGCTTCAGCACAATGAAAATGTTTCAAGGATTATTTGGAGCATTATTTGTAATCTTCATTAAGGCTCCCTAGAATGATGTAAGTATAGCTCCAGCCTTGAGATGGGGCATCATTTGTGCTGGGGGGAAGGGGGGCAAGGATGACTTTCAGCAACTGCACCCAGCACCGGCTGTCAGCCAGTCAGCTCTCAAGCAGCTTCCTGCAGCCTGCCCCAGAGGTCAGCCCATCGTGGCATGGCTGGGGCACGGAGACCTGCAGGCTGCAAGCGTCTCTCTTTGGTACACAGCTCAGATTGAAAGGAATAGGCTGAAGAGGTGTTTGACATTCAGTAACTCTCTCTCAGCAAAGGAATTTCACTCAGAGCTAATTGGCTGATAGGCCTTGGCGTTTTTACCTTCGCCCTGGCAAAATAATATATTTACTGTGTATGCTTGTCTGCACTGTTAAAAAGAGCATATCTGTCACAATTGGCTGCCACTGTTTAGGCACTGGCTGGGAAACATAGCACTGGTTATGCAGGGTGGGTCCTTGCAAAAGGGAAGTCCCCTTAAGGAGCTCTGGGGGCTGACACACTGGTGATGGCTAGGAACAGAGATTTTTACTGCTTTCAGCTCTAATACCTGCACTTTGCCCTTGGTTAACCCAACAGGTGGGTTGGGGAAGGTGCTGACAGCAATTGGGTTGTCGGGCATATCCACTGTCCCCAGCCTATGCTGTGCCAAGACCTGGGGAACTTATAAACCATAAAGTTGTGGCTGATTCTCCCCAGCGCATGTGCCTGTATCATCCCCCCCACCCAGTGGAATGGTCCCCACTCCAGGCACAATGGTTTTTCTTAGGAACAAGTCTTTTAAAAAGGCCACATGGAAGCTCTAAGAGAATTTAGCATATTCAGCTGTCAAAAACAAATTTAACTCACTGCATGTCAAGCCAAGCTGCTCTTTCATCTTTGTGTTAGCTAGAACCATCTATTTTATTCTATTAAAGCTTCCTTTGGCACTTTATATTTTTGCCAGATTTTGAAAAAATTATGAGACTTGGAGACAAGGTGAAGACATATAAAATTATCAAGCTTTTTTTTTTTTAAATAAAGGATTTATAATTATAACCAAAGACAGGAACCAATACAGTGAAGGGAAGTCCAAAGAAATAAGAGAGCATTCAGCTTGAAGTTCCTGCTAGGTCCTCAAATGCATTTTAAAGTAACATTTGATTTATTGAATATTAAGCAGATAAGTAATCATTATAGAAACCAGGGGACCTAGGGGACCTTTAGAAGAATTAAATGATAAATTCCCAGGTAACTCCTTTTTGGAATTCCTGGAATAAGCACAAATGCCAGCAGCCACTGGCTAATTCGATAATTTAATTAGATTAGTAATTAAATCTGCATATTACCAGTACCTCATGATATGTTCCCTTATCAGAATGGAAGGAAGTGTAAAATTATTAAATTCTAAGTTGAGGAAAGCTACAACACACAGTTAGAAGGAACACATTTTCTTTTTCATTCCATGCTGAAAGTAATAGGTCAGAAGCAAATTGTCTTAAACAGGTATGCCCTTAACACTTAGCTGCAGCAATTAAATTAATCGCTCACCAATTAATCACCAAAATCTTTAGTTGACTGATCTACCAATTAAAGTTTGGAGCCCTATTTCATAATGTACTGTAATAACTGTTTTGCTGTCAGATGAGGACACATTAAGCACATACAAAGCATCAGATTTAAATAACACTGTACTGGACATTTAATCTCCGTACTGCAAAAAGCAGATACAAGGAAAACAGTACAGTAAATTAAGTAGTACAGTATTTACTCAAAGGTAGGCAACCCTGAAGGAAAGACATCCCTCCCCCTTTTTTTAACTGCACATAACTGTAACTTGTATGCAAATGTAAGATGTCCCATATTTTTTTCTTTTCTGGAGGAGTTGGGATGGCATACTTGGAAAAGAACCTAGTTTTTGCATTGGGGAAAATACTGTATTAATGTATATGTCAGGAAGACCTAACAAGGAGAAGGTATCAGCTTGTGTGAGGTACTGCTAAAAATAGCAGACTAGGGCTAGGGAGGTCTTGATTCAAATCCCTACTCAGCCATGATGGGTGACCTCAGGCTGCAAACCTAAAGATACTTTCCTGGGAATATGCACCATTGAATGACACATGACTTTCTTCTGAGTAGACCCACTTCGTCTTGCTCCCTCAAGTCTGTCTTAGCCTAACCTAATTCACAGAGATGGAGTGCGGATAAAATGGAAGGGGGCAGAGAACCATGTAAACCTCCCTGAGTGCCTTGAAGAAATGGCAGGATAAAAAATGTAGAGAGATCCTGACCAATTTGTCTGAACGTCTCACTCTCTTTCCTCTCCCCTAGAAACAAGAGAAAAGCCTGCATTCTGGCCTCTCATTTTGCCTCACTTACCAACTCCAGCATTGTTGAATATGCCTGGCAAAACCAGCATGATGTGATTGGGCCAATACTTGCGGTACAGTGGCATTTCATATTCCTTCACCACTAGGAGATGGAGGTGGTTCACACCTTCCATAGCATGGTACAGATTCAAGAGGCCATGTTCATGGCGTCCACTTGAAGGAGTGAAAATAGGACTTTTCACTGCATTCACATTCTATTGGAAGGACAAAAAAAAAAAGGTTACTGTCTTGGATAGTCATGGTATACATCCATCTCTCCTGAAGGGACACATATACACCAGTAAAACAAGTATCCTGCCAAGGGGAGGCAGTGCCCTATTTTTCTATTCCACGTCTTTTCATTTGCCTCTCTTTCCCATAAAAATCAATGGCTCCAACTGACTTTCATAGGAAAAATATATGACTGCTATCAGGAAGGCAACTGACATTGGGTAAAGTTTTCTATTCTTCCCATACCCTGGGGTTCTCACTTCAGTTGTGTTGCCAAATCGCAGCATTTTAATTTTTCTCTCTCATGGAAATCAAACCATGACTGTAAAAGGCAGTGCTGATAGCAATATGATATATGCTGTCATGCGTAAACACTCTGCCATTCTGCTCTCTCTACAGAACAAACAGGACAGCTCCCATGCAAAAGAATCAATATACCCAATTTGGCACACACACACCCGATTTAGTAAATGGAGCCATGTTCAAAGGGGAGAAATGGTTCTACAAATCCAGCTTTCAGAAAAATACTGAAACTTAACTTAAAGAAGGGGCAGTGGTTGAAACCCCCTTCCCAAAACACAGGTGTGTTGTTTGCATATGTGTGGACAAAGCACCTCCATACAAGAGGTGTGCTACCTGATGGTACAGCCACACTTTGATGTTCTTGTGTTGAAGAACTGTTGACTTTCAGCTGAGTAACAAAGGGTGACTCTAGAAAGAAACTGCTGAATTGGAATTTGTTAATAGGCTTCACATTACTACCCCACTCCATAAAAGAAGATTTGGAATTTCTTACTCATTACAGGTGTTAATTATCTTAGCACCCCTCCTCAAAGTAAACATATAATAGGGTTCCCAGACCCCCAGTCGGGGCAGGGGATCCCCCAATTTTCACAGCTTTTGCCCACCGCCGGCCAGCTGGTCACTGGGGAGAACCCCACCCCCAAACACTGACATAATGAGGTAACATCCCCAATGGAAGTCGTTGGCAAGTCACGTGGTGACATTCTGCTTTTTGGGCATAACTCTATGGTTTGAGCCCAATTTTAACCATAGAGTTTGCCCCAAACATAGAGTTAACCATAGAGTTTGCCCTGCATAACTTCGCTGGCACATTTTAAAAAAGTTTATTTATTATTTATATCACACATATCAACATATCGAGTACAATACATTTATCATTGCGATACATTTTTTTGTCTTCTCTAACCAGACATAAAACTTCTTCCATCTTTTTTTAAATATGTCATATTCCTTTCCTTGCAAAAGTACATTTAATCTGTCCATCTCAGCTAATGTCAACATTTTGTCTAACAGTTCTTCCTTAGGGGGAATTTTTTCTCCTTTCCAGTATTTTGCTAGTAAGATTCTTGCCACAGTAAAAGTGTAGCTTATTAAATATTTATTCTCACTACTATAATAATTTGGGAGCATATTCAATAGAGCTATCTTGGGTGAGAACGGTATATCCAGTCCTGTAATCTCTTTTAATATTTTGTATATCTTAGACCAGTAGGTTTGTATTTTCCCACATTTCCACCATACATGTATAAAGGTGCCGACATTGTTCTTACATTTCCAACAATTCTTGTTAGCCTTTCCATAACACTTTGATATCTTATCTGGTGTCCAGTACCACCTATGGAACATCTTCAAAATATTTTCTTTATATGGAATTGCTCTCATCATTTTACTGTATTCCATATTTTAGACCATTGTTCTATTTCTATGAGATGCCCCAAATCCCTCATCCATGATATCATTGCTCCTTTTACGGTCTTGTCTATTAAGTAATCAGCTAACAAGGAGTTGTATAGTTTTTGTATTAACTTATCAGTTGAGGAGAGCCAAATCTTGTCTAATTCATTGTTATTATCATAAAATCCTATTTTTTATCCCTATTAAATCTTGACGTTAATTGTAAAGTATCCCACCATGTAAGTTTTATATTTTGTTTTTCTAATTCTTTATCGGATTTTAGTTTATTATCCTTATTTAACAAATCATTATATGTTATTTTCTTATATTTGTCTATCAGAGTCTGCTTTGTGTTAGCCTCTATGGGGGCCACCCATTTTGGTATTTTAGTATACAAATTTTTTCTGATTTCTTTCCATATTTTCATTAGCGATCTTCTTAATGTGTGTGTATCAAAAGTTTTTCTCGTTTTCTCTTCATCATACCACACATATTTGTGCCACTCCATCATTAGGTTAAATCCTTCTAAATTCAATAGTCTAGAGTTTTCCAGGAGTATCCATTCTCTTATCCATGTCAACGCAGCTGCTTTGTAATACATTTCCCAACTGGGGAGACCAAAGCCCCCTCTTTCCTTTTTATCCTGCATAACTTTTCGATTAATTCTTGCTTTTTTTACTGTCCCATATAAATTTGCTACAGATTCTTTCCAGTTCTTGTAAATAAGTGTTTTTTCTTAATATTGGTAGATTTTGTGCCAAGAACAAAATCCTTGGCAACACATTCATTTTTATTATTGCTATTTTCCCCATAAATGAA